TCACACCCGCAAAGGGGGTAGTACTCCAGGCCCCCAATTCGACATCATTCCAGGGGCCCCTGGAATAAAGTCTTGTTGCCTGGCTCTCCCAAAAATATCAAAAGGAAGCTCCAGCTATACTAAATCAAATTGGAACTGAATTCCAAATGTCAAAAGCAACCTCCAGCAATAATAAATCAAATTGGAACTGGAATTCCAAATGTCAAAAGCAACCTCCAGCAATACTAAATCAAATTGAAACTCAATTCCAAATGTCAAAAGCAACCTCCAGCAATACTGAATCAGATTGAAACTCAATTCCAAATTCAAAAGGAACCTCCAGCAATACTGAATCAGATTGAAACTGAATTCCAAATTCAAAAGGAACCTCCAGCAATACTAAAACAATTTGAAACCCAGTTCCAAATCCCAAAAAGAAGCTCAGCAATACGAAATCAAATGGAAAGTCAAGTCTACCAATACTAACTCAAGATAGTATTCCAGGTGCCCCCATCGTTGAAGGGGGGGGACCCCCGTTTACTGCTCCCATGTGGACATTAACTTGTGCAATTTAGTCGAATCAACCCCCATATAAGGATCCCCAGGACTCTGACCTCTCCTTGCCCATGATGACTGGCGGGGGCTTCTCCGGGGGCGCCGATGCAACAGAGCGGGTTTCTTCGCTCTCATCCGCGACGCCTCGGATGTGAAGATCCAGCGAAGTCACCCAAGGAACTGGCCATAGCTTGATGGCTATTGCCTGCCCAAACAGTTTAATTGTTTGCAGGTTCGGCAGAACATAATCAAACTTTGAAGATCCAACCAAACAACAGCCAATGGTGAACCCCCTTTTCTACCCCAGCTTTAGTCGCCGACAAACACCTGTTTTGCTCTGGTCTACATGTAGCCAAGCTTATGACTTTCTAAAAACAAAGCACACAAAAGATCCCAGTTTTGGCTGGTGCCATGGGGTTCATGTCAAATACACGACAATGTGACATGATGATACGTAACGGATGGATGAGCTAACCAAGACTTGCCGCTACTGTGCAACACCGAGTCAGCAAAAAGCTTCCTGGCAAGTCTTACCTGGGCTTGTCAAATGAGAGGGCCTGGCTTTTGCAAAAGGTCCTGCCTTTGAACAATGAGGAGGTGCATAATGAGGATTCGCCCAACTTATCAGACACCCCCTTTCGCGAAATTTATCATTGCCCCAGTGACTTTCTTTGAAGCCACCCCTGAACCACATAGTGAAATCCGCTGGCATTTGGTCCTTACTGGTCCCCCCAGCCTGAACCTACGGCACAGGAACTTTGCGGGAACCAGGCAGGGGTTTGCGCGCGTGCGCTGGGGGACGTGGAAATTCAAGAATGGCCCTCAACTCCATCTAGGCTTTTTCTACACAGGGAACAATGGAATTTTTTGATCCAAATGGGTAGCGGCTGACAAACAGGCATGTGTCAAAAGATGCTTGGTTTCCTAGTGGTTTCTCTTTAAGCCAACCCCCCACAATTCACCCGGCAATGTCACAAAACATAACGCTTTTGGTGAACCCCCAACTTGTTTCGCAGCTTTTGCCCCCCCACCAGAAAAACTATTTGTTTGATGGTCCATTTCAAACGACTTGAGAGAATCTGCGCTCTCCCGGGAACCCGCCCGCCTGACTCGGCTAGCTCATCTGTCGCTGGAGGGGCGCTCTTGCGCCGCCCTGAGGCTTTGGCAGTGGCCGTCAGCCGCTCGCGGCCCACAGCCGCCCGCTTCGGCCGGGGGCCCACCTGGTGAAATGTACGCTGGGCTCATTGCATTCCCCCAAACTTCGCACCATGTCTGTCTATCTTGACCTGGCTACTCGTCAACATTGGGTGAGCTTCTTGTTGGGCAACGCATTGGGTGAGCTTCTTGTTGGGCAACGCGATGCTATATAATGCGTGCAATGCAATGCAATGCGATGCATACATGTAAGCCTGCATATGCATGGAGGCAATGCAATGCAATGCAATGCGATACATGTACGTATGCATTCAATGATATGCGATGCGATGCGACGCAATGCAGTGCAGTGCAATGCGCTTTTGGTACGGTGCACACATGCGTGTATGTATGCATGCATGCAATGCAATACAAGGATATGTGATGCGATGCGATGCAGTTCGGCGATGTTCGGCGCAGTACAATGCAATGCGTACATGTACGTAGGCATGCATGTATGTATGTGTTTATCTATTCTATGTATATGTGTGTGTGTGTCTGTATGTATGTGTGTATGCATGCATGCATGCCATGCAATGCAATGCAATGCAATGCAATGCAATGCAATGCAATGCAATGCGATGCGATGCGATGCGATGCGATGCATTGTGATGCGATGTGATGAGATGTAATGTCATGGCATGTCATGTAATGTGATGTAATGTATGTATATGCACGCATGCAAGCATGCATGCATGTGTATGTGTGTATGCATGCATGTATGCATGCATCCATGCATTGATGCCTGTATGTACGCATCAACCATTGCAATTGTATTGCTGCATGAACTGGTGTCCAGCCAGCAAATAACCAAAGACCCACACAACCAACAAGCCAATCAGCCAAACCAGCAGGAAATGCAGCCTTGATCCCACAGCCTTAATTACATGGCACAGCCAGTCTTTTGCAAACACTTCCCACGCCTTCTTGGGCGGCATGGCCCGAGCCCTGCAACAGGCTCGCACTCAATCCTTCGACTTCGTCTGATTCCTAGTGACATCTGGTGGAACTGTCGCTGGTGAGAGGGCGAAGCTCCTCAATGTTCCGTCCTGATAATTGCTCAGCTGCTTGAACACAACTTCGAGCTGCTCCAAGCATGACGCCTTCAGGTGAAACTCGATGCACTGAGCCAAAGGAGGGCAAGGCAGACCGGGCGAAGTCTGCCTTGGCATCTCAGCTTGACCTCTTGCATTGGCTGGCTGCGGTGCCGACTGCTTCGAGCCTGCTGTTTGCTGCACAGTAGACTTGCATCTGTGAAGAGAAACCATCCGATCAAAGCTCGGCATGGGGGTGTCGTTGACTGGGGAGACCTCAACTGCTTAGTTGGTTGCCCTGAAAAACCAGACCAAAAAGAGGCCAGCCTCAAAAAGCAGGCACAAGTCCGTTAAAGGCGACAGGTGATAAGCACGTCCACACCCGATAGGCTGCAGCCAGCCCTTCAGCCCCCTTCAGCCCCGGCATGCCCGGCATGCGCACACTTGATTGGGCGTCAGGCCTCAGTGCCGGGAGGACGGCGGAATTCACTTTTTTGTTCTCAGCAATGAGTTGTACGAACAATCCCTTGTAGCTTCCTTGAAAGAAGATCCCTCCTGGATTCCCTGAGAACCACCCAGTTAAAACTGTCCGCGTTGGCCGCAAGGCCGTGCTGTTGGTGCTCTTCCGAGTTCAACCAAGTTGCAAAACACCAAGGCATCAAAGCCCGTGTCCGAAGATTTCAGGGCCCCTGCAGCTTTCCTGGCTTACGTATTGATGCCCTTCCGTGGCTGTCACAACCTTCAGCGTTGGCTCTCTGGCCCCACTGGACATTGTTGCCCAAGCTAGAGGCTTGGGAACACCTCTTCACATCCCGTTGAGACCTACCAGATGCCAAAGTTTCAAAGAACAAGGTTGTCTCAACTGCTCCCCCGTGCTGCCTTGAGGCACCTGCAAGTCCCGCTAAAGGTAGCCGCGCGAGCCCACTGTCTGCCCATTTGCTGCAAAATGACTCAGGGCCAAGCCTTGTGCTTGGGACTTGTGCTGAACGCTTTGATCCTGAAAGACCTAGTTGACTGATGGTGGGAAGGGACCCATCGGCTGGCAGCAAACCGATTAGCATTAGTTCGAGGGAAGCCAGCTGCATAAAAAAAAAAAAATGGGGCTCCAAAAATAAGTTGTGTTTTTCCTGTCGGTCTCCCTTTAAGCCAACATGAAGCCAGCCCCCTCCAAACGGCACACACCTTGTGGGGGGACACCTTGTGGGAACATCCGGCCGTATTCAGACCCCCCGCCATCAAGCTGTAGACTGGCAGACTTGCCATCCACACTCATCTGCCTGCGAGGCATCGTGAGGTGGATTCTTGGCGCTTGTCTGGGGGGCACAAATGGCTATGGGTCAAAACCCCGGTTTCCCCCCAGTGAACATCCCAATCCCCTTAAAATAGGTCCTAAAATGGGTGGTGAATTCACCTACCCCGAAATGGGATCCCATTGGTTTTAAACCATGGCCAAATGAGATTCTCTGATTCTGCTTTAGAGTTCGCCTGCCGCAGAATATGAAATGGTTTTGGAGGAGACCGCAGGGTCACCCGACTTCTGTTCATCTTGTCCAGCAAACAAGGAAGTGGAATTTCATGCGGGCAAAGGCAATGTGGCAGGCTCCACCCTTAATTGAGTCAAATCACGTTGATTGACTTGAGCAGCCGAGATTCCCCGTAAATGGATCATTTGATTCTCCGGCACGAACCTCCAAGAAGAGATGTACCTAAGGACTTATCGATCCAGGCCCCACGGAAGGTTCACATCTCAGCTGCTCTGCGTCTACTGCAAGGTCTGGATACCCCCAGTTGAATGAAGCCCTCGCACAAGCCAGACCTGCAGCTGCGCTTGTCCCAGCTGCTCCCTCTAAACGCATGGAGCCCTGCACTCGAAGGAGGGGAGGGCTCTCATTTTGAGCGCCACGTTGGATTGTAATCCCAACCCCCGCTGGCCATGCAAAAACACGGCGCTCCAAAACAAAAACCGCCAAAAAAAAGGAGCAAAGGGCACCACTGGGTGTCTGGATAAGGCGACCCTGGCCCTGGAGACGTGTGTTTGGGACAAAGGGGGAACTGACCAAGTGATTGCGTGTCAAGAAAAGGGGAGACCAAACATTGCAGCGTTCCTGTTGGATTCAAAAGCTCGTGAAACAAGAGTCTGGCCTATATAAGGAAGGATTCATCTTGAATCCAGCCGAACAAGTAGGGCACCCGCAAAACACACAGATAGGATACGGCTGCGCGGCACCGCATTTGTTTCCTCACGGCCTTTAGCTGAGAGTCACCTCACAAGATGTCAGCGCCAAGGAGTTGGTTCCCGCCTCGTCACACGGGCATGTGAGTATTGACCCCGGATCAATCAGTCCGTCCTATTGGCAGGGGGCGCGTTCCCCTGCAAAAAAGTGATGAAACCCCACTAACAAGGATGCTCCCCGCATCAGGGGAACAAAGGTTTCTATGGGCGCTGATTTCATCCCCAGCAAGCCAGGTAGTAGAAGCCCCTACCAGACTGTCTTTTGGGGGCTTGGGGTGCTCACATGGAAATGTGGGTATATCATTGGATCACCCTGTCACTTCCTGAGTGGGGTTGGTGAAAAGCAAAAGCGTGCATACCTTCTGTTTACTTCAATCTGCAAAGGCCGGGGCAGTGAGACCATTTGGAGGGCTAAGTTCAAGCCACGTGGGACTGCGCGAGAACTAGGGCCAGATTCATGCATGGTTGGTGTTCTCATGACCCTTCCTACATCTTCCTAAGTTTGACACATACCCATGAGAATGTCAAGGTGAAGAGTCTATGCGGGATGGAATGGCAAGAAAGCTAAAAGGACGCCGGGCATTTGGAAGGGCGTCTAGTTTTGCCACACAGCCGCATGTACTCAGCTGGGAGTTCAGCGTGCGGCCACTACTCCTGATCGGGAATCGCAGCCAGGCTTATACGGGAAGTGACGAATCGCTTGGCCACATGCCTTTACCAAAAGCCTTGCCGAGGGATATCAAACAAGGATGGTAATACTGCCTTTTCACCATGGGAACCAACTCGTATAATATTTAAAATATGTGTATATATATATATGGCATACATCCTCCTTTTGACATGCAAAGGGCAACAGATTGCGGAAAGTACCCCGGCCACAAACACACACACTATTTTCCTCAAAGTCCCCTTCTCTCGCTGCGCAAATCAGAAGATATATTCCACGAAGCAAAGTCAGCAAATGCCGCAGGCCGGAAAGATTCATGTTGCCCTAGATTCCGAACACTTTAAAAGGGACACCCTTTGCCCAGTTGGAACGGAAACCCATGTCCACCGCGCTTCATTTAAAGGGATCGGCCGCAGGTTTGGTGTCCCCGACGGCCGCGACGGGTGGCTACAATGAAGATGCTACAAAGAAGGCTGCTTACTTCCCATTAGATGAAAAAATCCACTGCCAGAGTTCACTCCCTTTCGCAACGTGCACGGCTGTCTGGAGATCACACTGCCTCTCTTTCCATATCCCTGCCCGACCTGAAAGGAACAGTTGACATTCTGGGACCTTGACTACATGGGCCAAGGGAAAAGAAAAAGGTTAAAGTGAGTTCATACCCACGCGCAATTGCCCCTTTGGGGCTTCCCTGGAGGGAAATTGAACATGCCGATGCCCAATATGTGTCAACCATTGTCAACACAGAAGTACTACTGTTCTTGTGGTGATCTTCCTTTCGGGTTTCCCTTTCAGCCAAGAACAGGCTACCATCCGCTGGCCTCCAGCTGGACTGCCTCGCCGTTCAGCTTCGCCGCCAGCCGGCCGCTGCACCACAGCACCAAGCGCGAGGCGCAAGAGCGCAGCGTGAGGCGCAAGCCGCCGCCCGCTTCCACCGGTGGATGGCCTATGTTCGGCAAATGCGCAGCCACTGACATCACGACTTTGCACAACTGAGCGCAATCCATGCGCTGAAGGGGTGTGTGTGTGTGTGTGAGTGTGTTTGTATGTGTGACTATACATCTCTAAATAGTGTATTATATGTATACCTGTTTGAGTCTGTGAGCTTTAAATCATACATGGTTGCCGTCATCTTCAATGTTCATACTTAATCCGATTTAAAACACGTTCTGAGACAAGAACAACAAAACAAAGAGTAGACAGACCTAGACAAACTATCAGGCTACATTAACTTCATCTGTCTTCTTCTACGGCTGCATCGGCATACATGCTGCACCTATTTCAAGAGGTGGCTGCGTGAAAGCCATGCAGGCATGTGGGAATCATTTTGTTGATACGCGAATGTTCATTGGACAAAACGTGGACATGTCTTTAGGCATCTTTCTGTAGGCTCCCCCTAAGCCAAACTCAGTGGCGTGGTGTTGGGTAATGATTTTGCACGATGTGTTTGTTCTCCTGGAGTGGGTTAAATGCATTGACTGCATTGATCTATTGCAGCCCTTGCACCCCATGTGAAAAAAAAAGAAAAAACGCCACTTACGCGCTCAGTGCCAAATGGGCCACCCTGACGGATGTATTCGCGGCCTTCAGGTGAGGGATCCCCCCAAGGGCTTTTCCCACAATCCTCCATAGTTTCCCTTGGGTGGCTCCACAAGCATCACCTTTTGTGCATAGGGTATGGGTCAAAAAAGGGTTTCCCTTGGGCCACTTGGGTGGTTTCAAGCATCACCTTGGTCAAAAAGGGGCCCGCAGAAACTGGGGCTTGAAACCGAAAGAGCATCCCAAATGGCCGTCGCCCTGGCTCGCTTGCAGTCAGGTGGCACAGCGTGCCTGTGGGGTTCCACACTCCCGCCAGCCCGAAAACCGCCAGGCGGGTGCCTTTGAAGGCCACGATGGGCGCCAGCGCCAGCACCGCGAAGCCCATGTAATGCATCCTGGTGGCTACCCCCTGCGCAAGCTTCACATTTTGTGGGTTGGGAAAACACACCAGTTGCCCCAAAAGTTGAAGGCAAGAGGCTTGTCGTTTTTGGAGTCCTGGTACCCTTTTTGAGGGTTGGTCTGCAGGAAAACCAAAAGGAAAACCGAAGCCATTTTGGGGTCCGAATTCCTACGTTGACACATACTACACCCAGGAACAGGTCGACAAAACGGGAAGGACCAAGCATGTGTATCGGCGCTTGTTGACATGCCTTTCCAATAGAAGCTTACAGGTCAAATTTCTCACTGACAACAAGCCTTCACTCAGGAATATGTGTCACATCCACCAGCAAAAGCCAATATGTTCAGAGCGCCGCTTGGAAACCAAGCGTCTGCACGTCCCAGCCGCCATCGGTCAGCTCAGCTGAGTGACCTTCGATTCCCCACCCAAATGCCGAACGAGACTGTTCCAAAAACAACAATCTGTCTGGAGAAACCGGGTCAAAGTTTCTGGTGGTGCTATTGCTGTGACCTTTAGGTCGCAACAACTCTACAGGGTGACGCCCGAGCACGGAAGACGTGCACATGTAAACGTCACGATCTCGGAAAGCAGCACTACACCTTGGTAGTAACAAGTGCCATTGCATTGTGCCAAATAAGCTCCGTCACCCGTGTTTACAGAACTACCAACAAATCCCTGCAAGTGGTTCTGAAATGTGTAGCCATCGGGATGTGGAAAGACTTTTGTGCAAAAATGGATCGCCTGTCTGGAGACCTTCTACTGTCAAACCCGCTTGCCAATTGGTCTCTGTTCGTCTGAGAAGCCAGGCGAATGAAGATCCACTTGGAGGCAGGCATGGGCCTTCTCCACTCGCAGGTCGTGGGGGAAGATGGTGGCTGTCATCCGTGCCTCGCTTTGGTGCAGCCCGAAGCCAGCTGCGATGAACCCCGAGGCTGTGGAGTTCACAATCCACCAAGGGCTTGGAGTGCTGAGGGGGTCCTGCTCAAAACCGGACTGAGACGTGCAGTCAACTTGGCTTGGCAGTCACAATGATATGGGGTGACAACAAATGAGTGACTCCCTTTTGGTCGCCTTCTGAGCAATCTTTCGAAAACTTGAAAGTGCCCCAATTTCGGAAAGAGGCAAAAACAGCCGGGAAAACTGCTGGAGGGGCTCTCCTGCATAGAACCCTACATAATTGACGTTCTCTGGTGGCATTGACGTTCTCCGGTGGCATTTCTCCACGGATGGGCATGTGACTACTCAAACTCGCCAACTGCAAATGGTTCCAAGGACCCTCAATGCAAGCTTGCGCAGGTGGACCCAAAGGAACGCAACGCTGCGTGGGGGGAAAGGCGAAAAGGCACCAGGGTCCCTTTAAAAAGATCGGACATTTACTTTTCTTTGACACCGCAAGTCCGGACGTCCTCGAAGAGTTGTCTGTCGATGGGCCTGCCCGAGCCTTCACAAGGCACCACCTTGTCAGTGCCCGGGACCAGCAAAGGTCTGAGCACCTCGCAGCGCAAGGCACCAGTCAACTTCATTCGGCGTGGGCACGAAGGACCCATTTTGTGATATCATTCGCGCGTTCTGGGGTCAATCCTTCTGGGCTCGGTTGACCCTTGTGCTTCATTTGAAACCCGCCGTATGCTCACTTCCCGAGTAGATTGGAAGTAAAAACAGTCCAAACCTTTTGTTTACTAAAAACGGCTTCCCAAAAAGCAAAAAAGGTTAAAGTCCAGGAACTCAGGGAGTGAGTAAATTTGCCTGCGTCCAAGGGAACCCCACAAACGAGTGTTTTCCCTTTGAACCCACCCCCGAATGAGTACCCTCAAAAAGAACGACATCGCCATTGCGCTGGGCCAACCAACGCCCGCGGCCTCCATGTCGAAGCACTCCGCCGCGTCGCTGGCGTAGACCGGAGCCCCAGCCACCGCCCGCGCGGCCGCGTGGATGGGCCCATGCCACTCGCTGGTCTTCAGCATGTCCTGTCTGCAGGCCATGAGAAGCCAAGGGAAACGGCCACCATAAGAAACCGCCTGAAAACTGAAGGGATCCCCGGAACCAAGAATGTAAACAGGGAACCAAGGCCTGAGGGAAATGATTAAGCTTGTAGAAAGTGGTCTCCACTGCCCGGGGTATAATGGGAGATGCGGGCACTAGCCACTATGGCTCTAAGATGGCCCCCGCGACCGTGTGCTCCGTATATTTCCTCTTAAACATCACACAAAAGGGTTTCCAGCCACAATGGGTCCGTAAAGTGAGGTGCTGCTACGTAGCAAATCGCAGGCAACCTGAAGGCACCCCAAGTTCTTAGCCTGGTTATCGTCGTAACCGTCACCACCAGGTTAGCCTTTAAAGCCTGTTGGAAACAGACTTGACTCCCTGATTCAATGTAAAAAAAACACTTGTCAAGTTGCCCTGACTGCACACTTGGCTACACAAGAAGCAACTATTTCCAAGGGGTCAAGCAAAGCTGGTGGCCGGGTCAAACTGGTCCATTCGTCCGAGCATCCCAGTCGCAGAACAAATAGGGCGCCAACCAGAGCGAGTTCACCGAGCCTCGGCAAGGCCACACGCGACCACCACTGCCACTTGGCACCTGAAGATCAATTCATGGACCTTGGGGGCTGTGCGGCGGGGCTATCACGATTGAACCCCCGAAAGGAAACGACCCCAAAGAAACGACCCCGGGGCTCTGGTGGCCATGGTGGCCATGACAGACTCAGAAACCAGCACCAAAGGTCCTCTGATGTTGCAAGAGGGTACACCTCGGGAACCGTAGTCGGCTGAGAAAGTCTACCTCAGTTTGAACTATTGTGCTGTTGTCAGCGTTGCTGTGCCTTCTCCTACCTCCAAACGAAGCATCATTTCGAATGGGGCTTGACACGTCACACATCCTTCACTTGGTTGCTTTCTGCTCCACTGCCAAACAAATACCGTTTAGTGGTTTAATGGAAAACCAATTAGTTTGCAAAAAGTTCAAGTCATTTCACGTCCTACCATCCAAGAAACATGCACCAAAGTTGTGACGGAGAGAAAACAAAAAAAGAAAAAACGCAAAGCCAACTTCAAAGGATATGCCGGGTATAAGACGAGCAGCAATGGTAGATGTGCCTTGCCACTGCTGGAGCGTCTTCCGGCACACCAGGGTAGGCCTGAGTTTGGGTCCTCCAGTAGAGAGGTTAGAATAAGGGCGCCCGACTTTTTATGTAGTCTATTTTAGTAAAGGAACCCTCCCCAAAAAAGAAACGGTAAAAGGGCCCCTAGCTGGGGGACCTAGTTTGGGACTCACAGGTGTTTGGCATTTTGAGACCCAAACCGCCGGCTTGCAACACTGAGCGCTGAGCGGCGGAAGGAAACAAAGAGTAAGTGACTGGGGCCCGTCAGTCTCCGCTCCCCGAAGCTTCAAGTCCATCAATTCCATCCATTCCTTGCATGGCATGGAACAGTGTCACCTTTTGGGAAGTGACGAAGCAAATGGTTTGGGCCCCCCTGCTTCATACAATCCTTGCATGTTTATTGCTCCTTGACATTTCCCAATCAAGGTGCCGAAATCTTCGGAGGCTTTTCTTGGCGGGGCTTGAACCCTCGTGGCCTCAAATTTCTAAAGGGAAGTAGGCAATGCCCGCTGCTATCGTGTGAATTGAGGACTGTCTAAACCACTCATGAAGAGTAAGGCCCGGGATTTGTCTAGAGCTGGTCCGGCTCTGGGATGTTAGTTTAGCACAGCGGTGGTCTAGGGTTCCAGGCCGGCTGGGGTTGGTTGGGGCCTTTTCCCTCCCCTGTTGCTCTGTTGGAGAAAACATAACGAGACAAGTGCGAACGCCAAGGGCGGATTTTGGCTGGCAGCCCAAGCCAAAGACTGGTAGATGCACCTACATTTCTCACTCTTGGCATGCTTGGAGTTGGGCCTACTTGCATACATATGAAGATCCTATTGCTTGATATGCTTGCTCACTGTTTACCTAAGTCAATTCCAGATGGAAACTGCAGCGCCTGAACCATCTTCAACCGCAAGTCCCAGCTCTAACTGACTTCCTGGTCCTAGACAAATTTTGGAAAGGATGGAAAAAGAGACTTGAAGCTGCTTTGGGCGTTGGTGTTCGCCTGGCGTCAAGCCTCTGAATTCACCTCCCCTTGAACAAGCTGCATGCAGCAGTCCTGGCCCCTTAAAGCAGGAAGGAACCCACCCGAACTGCGGGATTGGCCAACCAACCCCTAAGCCTGCAGGGCCGGGCCACGCAAATGCAATGAAGCCGCGCAAGCCCGTTCATCAACTCGGTGCCACTGTGACTGCGTTTCTCCAAGCGGCATGGTCATCGGAGACTCGAGAAAGCACCGCCTGCGCCACGGAGAGTACAACAACCTCGCCCGAAAGCTTCGAACTCACGACAACTCATCAAAATGATGTCCTTCACAAGCGGCAAGCTGTGCTGATATGTATTTCACGCTGAGCCAAAATGCCCCTGCCTAAGCGCTACACATGAAAGCAAAAACCAACCTCCCCCCAACCAAAAAACAACATGTGGGCACTACAATTTGCCCAGGCCACGTCACCCAAAATCACACTTTGAGGCGTTCTCAAAACTGAGTGGTTCATTGCACCTCTTCTTCGTCAAATTGACTTTTAAACCGCCAAGAAACATGAACGTTCTAAGGTTCCCTTCAAGCAAAGATTTTGTGGGTAATTTGGCCCATGTCCCTTCAATAATGCAGGTTCCGCGGCCTCACCGATGGACCGCAGAGTCATGCCCATGCCTTGGCCCACGTCTCGGGGAGCGCAATTAATGAAAACAAAAAACACTTTCAACGTCATATTTTGCAGCCAAAAAAAAAAACTCTAAACATACGAGGACGGCCACAATCGTAAACCTAGGATTTCTATGTTTACTTCCATCCTCGTTTTGGCACAGAGAAAAGATATGGGTGTGAGTTAACTGGGGAGCCTTTTTACATCAATAGTTCGGTGGGGGCTCATGTCCACCAACCACTCAAAGGCTGACCCAGCTGCAGCTGATCACTGGCGCCTCCGCGAAGTGCGCGGAAGCCGCCGCCAGGTGGGCCGCCTGGATGGCCTCGCGGCCCTGCAGGCTCAGCAGCACGTCCTCAGCCAATTGATTGACAAACCGGCCAGGAAATGTGACCTGAGTCGGCCCGTGTTTTTGCGCGCGTGCGTGCGCGCGTGCGTGCGTGCGCGCGCGCGCGCGCGCGTGCGGCGGGCGGGGGGGGGGGCGGGTCCGCGCGGGCGGGGGGGGGCGGGGGGGCGGCGGGGCGGCAGGGCGGGCGGGAGGGTGGGCGGGTGGGCGGGTGGGCGGGTGGGCGGGCGGGTGGGTGCGTGTGTGCGCGCGTGCGTGGGTGCGTGTGTGTGTGTGTCTGTAGGCCTGCGCGGCATCGCGCAGCTGAGGAAGAGTCTCAACCTGCTGCTTGCTGGCTGCGCAGTGGCAGGTCAGCCGCCCAGTGGGGGGCAAACGCCGGAGCCTGAGCACGCCTCGGAGGCTATGCGCAAGTCCGCGGAAAACAACTCGGAGAACGGGTGGCCCGAAAGCAAAAACATACAGTGAGCGCGGCGCGCGGTGCCAAATGCGTTCGTGTTTTCGTGCACAACATGCTCGCGCGCTTCGCGTCAAGGATCTGAGTGGCCAGCATGAACCATATGATATATACATTATAGCTAACTCAGAGATGCCAAAATATTGCCGCGAGTGCTCTCCCTCTCCCTCTATCTCTTTATCTCTCTCGCTCGCTCTCTCTCTCTCCCTCTATCTCCCTCTCTCCCTCCCCAACATCTTGCGCGTGCCTACAAAGCGCAGTCGCGGCCTTGTGCACCACGTGCCGCCAAAAGCATACTTCGCAGGCCATCCTGTGTTTCAACAGCTGCGATTGTCGAACCGGAGCTGCAGCCATGCATTTCGCAACTTGCCTTTGTGTCAAGCAGTGGAGAGCGCGCTTGGCGCGCTACTTTGCGATTTCCAGCTGAAGCTGCGGGAGTCCACCTGGCATACTGCCTTTGTTTTGAACCTTTGCCATAGCTGGAGCTGCGGGAGCGTGCTTCACGCTACTTTGGCGCTGACAAGCTGCGATGTCGAGCTGAGAAACTGCGGGAGTGCACTTCGCAAACTAGATCTCCACCTAGACTTTTACTTACCGGTTAAGCACGTGTGACCGTTCTATGTTCTGTTTCGGCCCATTTGCAAGGGTGAGACCCTTATCATAGACTTGCGCCTTTGACTTGCACCTCTCTGACTTGTACTTCTGTCGATAACCTGGAGGCATCCTCACAAACTTTCCACCTGTCCACCGCCTTTCTGATCACTACCTTACTGTTGAGCTTTCAAACGCTGATCTGGTCCCTGAACCTCATCCCGCAGGAGGAACCGCCCATTTTGGCTTTGTGGCGGGGGCTTCGGGGACTACCAGCTGGACATCTCTGAAGGGACATGGACGATCCCTCCCTGGTGTGTTTTGTCCAGTTGTCTCTCTAATTATCCCTTTTCTCTTTGTGGTTTTGGTGCTTGTGTCTCTGTGTGTTTGTGTGTTTGTGTGTTTGTGTGTTTGCTTGTTTGTTTGTTTGTTTGTTTGTTTGTTTGTTTGTTTGTTTGTTTGTTTGTTTGTGTTGCTTTGCGTTTTCTTGTTAAGGCGGAGGACCTACACGCTGCCCCCCATGTATTTACCTCTTGTTTAACATATATATATATATATATATATCTATCTCTTTGATCTCTTTGTCGGTCCGCTTTGTCGGCCCCTTTTGTTGGTTGTTCTTGGTGGCCGCTGGAGTCCCTACTCACCTTGTGATCGCAGCAGGTAGTTCGGATATGCACTTGACATGTTTTTCCACCTTCAAGGCCTGAATCGGATCTTGGATGAAACTTCCCACCCGTAGCACGGTGAATGCTGAGGCTGCTGCCCCTCGGGTGCGTCTGTGTGCGCAACCCCTATTTCTGAGGGGATTCGGTGGCGGCTCAGGGGACCTCGGCCACCCCAGTGAGGATGGTCACATGAGATCCGAAACTCCATAGCGCGTGCACCTGGGCACTTGCGATGCACCTCGCGGCGTGCCTCTTGGTAGCGGTTTCTGTTTCCGTTTGAGGATGCCTCAGCCTTCGCGCCAACTCATGCAAGTGTGTGTGTGTGTGCGCGTGCGCGTGCGCGTGCACGTGTGGGCGTGTGTGATTGGTGTCGGTGTCTGTGTGTGTGTGTGTTGCGTAGCAGGCGTCAATACAAGCTGTAAGCCTTCGTAGGGCAAGCGTCAGCAAGAAAGTGCCCGTCGCACTTCACTCCTGCCACGCCAGCCGAGGCCAGAAACTCGTAGAAGTCGGTGTAAAACCGCTCCATGTCCTGGCTTTTGGGTATTGTCTGAGGCTTTCAGATACGATCTCAGGCTCGTAGTTGGGGCGCACGGGGCAAACCATCTTTCAAGTGAATCCTAATGTGCCGTTCCAACAGAGCATCTAGGTACTAACCAAGTTCAGCAAGGCCAAATGCCAGGGTCTGCTTTAATCTCAGCTCAAAAGGGGACGTACTTTCCGGGTGGCATTGTCTGGTTCGTCATGACTTCCCTTTGAAACCGTCCTTTACAGCTACAACCCAAGAAGCAATCTTCAGAACAATCTCCGGAAAGCTAGCCAAACCACCCACCAAGAATATGTTTTGTTGATTTCCTTGAGATTCTCTTGGGGGGGGTGCTTTTTTTGTGGCAACCATATCCGGGCCAAAACAGAACAAGCAAACGGCGCTTGCAAAAACCCGCCGGACGGGGGCTTCCCCCGGAAGAATTGCGGGACATGTCATGTGCGGCCCGTGTTTTCCCCGACTCGCACATGTTTTTGAGGAACTAGTTGGGGTGGTTGGGAAGGTGGGGGGGGATGATGCCATCACATCACCATGTTCTATGTCGGCTGGCTTCACTGCCCTGCCCGCGAAAGCGCTTGTCCACTTGCTGGCGGTGCGACCCCTTCTTGCTGCACTCCTACAGAGTTTGCTTTCAGTCAACAACGATTCCCTTTTGTGTTTTGTGTACAGCCATTTTTGTTTGTTTGTTTGTTTGACCACTTGGTTGGCCCCTAAGGCGCTTGCAAGAATCTCTGAAGCTCCCAGGTTCGTGCGCATGATCGTGTTGCTGCCGCGCCGCTTTTGTCCGAACTTTGCGGTCTTGCAGGAAGAGCTTGGATTGTTGCGAGATCAGTGGGGAGCATATTGCTGCTCATCTTTTGTTGGACCCGCCCAATGCTGCGGCCCATCGCTGCTTATCCAGCAGGCTGCGCGGAAGACAATTGCAGCTGCAGAGGCCACTGTTTCTACGTAGAAATTGCAGAAAGGCTGCCCCTAAAAAGGCTGACCCTCCAATAGGGGATGTGTTGGCAAGGGCTGAATACCTTGGCACTGCCACTGCATTCCGCATTTGGCGCGTTGCGCACAGACAGTTTCACACATTGGTTCCTTTTTGCAGGCCTGGCACAAGGCACAGTGCTCATACGCCAACTTCCCAGCAGTTCTCCATGTTGAGTCATAAGAACTTGAACATTCGTCCAAGAACAGGAACTATGTCGAGCTTGACTCTGGCAAGCAACGTGCCATAGCCAGTGAAAATTACAGTTACTGCAAGAGCTCTGGCGTCTTTGGGGAACCTCCATAGGTTTTGGGAGAAAAATCGATGGGGTTCCCTGGTGAATGGAAGAAACCCCATCTAAACCAGTGAACCCCATCGATTTTGAATCAAACTAAAAAGGACACCTATGGGAACCTCCCGTCCCCGACGGCGCCTCCGGGTCCAACACGGAAAAGTCCCCCTCCCAGACCTTGCGACGGCGTCTCGCGAGAAGCGCGTGAATGAACGTGAGGCCCAAACCAAATGGCTCGGCAGCTGCTTCCATTTTTGCTTTCTTTCGCCCCCTTGACACAAGAACAAGAAAACAGTAGTCAGTAGTGATAGATTCCCTTCACACCAACAGGGGAAATGAAAACATGTCAAGCCAATGGAAGCAAATGAGCTTCGGCCGAGCTCTGTGAAAGGGGTGCCTGAGCCAAAGTCCCCCGGTTCTCGGCTGAGACTCCTCGAGTCTGCATACCCCACGTCCCCAATGAGAGGGACCATGAGAGGGACCTGGGAAATGCAGAGGTCGGTCGAAACACAAACCTCATCCCATGCAAGACTTGTACATGAGTGGATCCCGAAAACCTAATCCCCACTCTCACTGATTAAAGACCAACGCACATGGCAACATCCCAAAGTATGAAGTCTCCACAATTGGTGCGTTCATGTGCGTTCACTTTGGCTTCCCTTTAAAACAAACCCCAAAACCCACCCACCCACACACCCACCCACCCACTCACACATAAATGCAAATATCATGGGAAGAGGTATCGCTTTGCGAGGCGCGTCCACCTCCTGCGGGCAGTTCTCTTGGAGACCCCGGGGCCAAGTGGGCAGAGCACGGTGCACCTGCCAGGGTTGGGCCAACCCTAGTTGAACCATGAAATAAACAAGTTCATGCAAAAAAAATACAAAACTGTTTTTCATTGTTTTGTTTAAACATTGATGCTGAACGGTTTGCAAACAATCATTTTGAACCACTGTTGTTTAAAACATGTTGAGCAGTTTGAACCATATCCTTCGGGCTTCGGTTTCTGCCCTTTAAAGGGACACGGTTTTTGGTTTGTTCCATGCGCCTTGTACCCCCGGCCAGGTGCCACGCCGCCCCAGTAGCCCAGCAGCGTGTGCCACACTAAGAGCTGGATGGAGGCCTTGGACCGACACCAAAGCCTTTTATGCTAACGGGCTAGCAGATAGAATATTGTTGGAGTCAATGAAAATGCAAATTTCAAAAGTCCAAAAACATAATATAGTTGGAATAAATCGAACTCACAGTTAGAATAAATCCAACCAAACCAGTTGGAACATTGCGAAATAGATAGAATATGTCCTAGCTGCTAGCCCGTTGCTATATATGTCTAAATATGCGGCTTTCAGGAAACCATGTGGGTCCCATGATTTTCCATTTGGGCCCGTCTTTCTTTCAATATGCAAAACCAAACGGAAACCAACCGTTTTGAGGGGTCCCCCAAAGAAAGACACACGCATTTACCAAAGGAATGCATGGCTTCTCCCTTTTTTCGGAGCTCAAAAGCTCAGCCTGACGGGCCATGCCCTCTCCCACGAACAGTTAGAATATTTCATGTACCGCAAATTCTCCAGTTGAGAAGGTTGACTCTGCTTTCTGTTGGCGAGGCTTTTGCAAGACCCTCTCAAACAACGATACCAAAGTACACTTTCTCTTTATTTGTCTCTTTTCTTGACCCCATGCATCCGCGCGGCTCGATGCCATCAAACCTTTCGACAACATCAATTGGTCAATCTGTGTGAAATTGCCTTGTGACCCAGCCAGTTTCAATACAAAACAGAGCCAGAGGGATTGAAGGAACCCCTGAAGTCCACAACATCAACCATGCGACCCCTGGCTGAAATATTCCATCTGTCAAAGCATATTCTATCTGCTGGCCACCTGAAAGGGTGTTCAAATTTCAAGGATTTGCGCAAATGTGAATTATTCTAAGTCTCACATGTGCTCCGAAAGTATATTCTAACTGTGCTACATATTCTAACTGAGTTTTCGGAGTAGGTTATATTCTAACTTCGGAGCCGACGGAGTAAATTATATTCTATCCGCTAGCCCGATAGCCACAACCACTCCGCAGATTTTAGGGTCTCAACCAACCCCAGCTCAGCCACATGAAAGAGAGCCACGGTCTGGGAGGGCCACTCAGGTAGAGGTGCCATGTGGGAGGATGGGTGGGGGAAGAGACCTGGAACAAAGTTGAGCAGTCAGCTAGCCTATCCCAGGTAGTGAGATAAGACTTCCTTCAGGAAATGGGGCCACCTGGATTTCTACACTGCTTGTTACCCTTCGCAAAAAATATCCACTTTTTTGAAACAGAGTGTAAATGGCTTTCCTTGGTGGTTGAGACCATGGGGGTCATTAGATTCATTTGGCCCGGTCGCATCCCTTTACAAGCCTTCCAGGAACCTCTAAAAACCCAGGTGGCTGGATGCATCCTGGGAACCTCGAACACATGAAACACAAGATCAAACTTGAGTGTCCAATCCGCTGAGGCATAAAGCCTCAGCAAGAATGACTGGGACTATTCTCCCAACATGTTTTCATCACACATCTGCACATGTTGTTATGCCCAAGTAAGGGATCCCAAGTAAAAGCTGAGTTGCAAAAGCTGAGTTAAGGGATCCCCAAGTAAAGAGCTTGTCATGCCCAAATGAGCTCGCCGCAAAATAGGCAGACAAATCCCAAGTGGGTTCGGCACTCGACGGGCGCTGGGTTTTCGAAGCCCCGAAAGGATCAACGTCGACATCCACAGCTTTTGGCCTCTGACCGGGAATCCGACGGAGGCAAAGCCGGAAAAAGGAAGGGACAATCACAGGTCTCCTGGCTGCTCTTTGGATCCCCGACTTTGCCCGATGCACTTCAAGGGAAACGAGGGGAAGGCTTTCGTTGGGGTCCAATGGTACGCATCCCATGCTGGATTCGGGGACTTCAAATGGATTCAACCAGTCAACTGACTCCTGTGGGCTTGTTGTTCCTTTCATGTCGACCGTGGGTTTGCACATCTCTCTGGATTTGATTTATGTTCAGGACTCAGGCAAAACAAAGAACCAATAAAGTCCTGGAAAACAGTGTCAGATACTGCTCTGCAGGAACACTCCCATGTGCGACATCCCAGATTTGCACAAACGAAAACACCTCACCTAAAAGGCAAGGGTACATGCTGCACGGAACTGTGCCAAAAAGCTAAATAGAGTCCACCCGCGAAATTGACGGTCCCAACCCCTCCCTTGCGATGTGTTTTGCGTACGCCCCAACTTGGATGCAGCCGCGCCGCCTCAGCCAAGTGCTGTGCCAAGTCTTTCAGGTCCCCAAAGGACGGCCGCGCTTGGAAGCCGCTCTGAGGGGTGTGGAGCCAGCGCCTCCACTGCTCCGGCTTTACCTCCTCACCGCTTCACCGCGCACCGCGCACCCGGGCCAAGGGGGGTGGCTGAAAAAACCAACGGCCTCGCCTCCGGCGCAGCTTGCTGAGTGCTTTGAGAATCTGTGAGGCGCTCTGGTAAACACCAAAAGCGATCGTATGCTTCAGGACGCCTAAGGTGGGGTATGTTGATTTCCGGTATGTAAGATGCGCCTCAGCACAACAGGTCAAAAGAGAGAATCGCTTTGGCCAAGCAGGCGCATGTCGCGGCACGCGACTTGGGATGTAGCGGCACCCAGCCACAAATAGGATTCGTACCTAAAACTCGCTTAAGTTGCGACAGCGGCCAGGCTCCGAGTGCAAGAAAGCTACGTCAGTTACATCTTGCCCGTGCGCTAAGGCTAGAATTAGTGCGCTTGCTTGCTGCTCACCCGGTTCAAAATGTTTGAGTACGCGCTGGCAGGCACAGCATTCACAGGCCTCTCACGGTGCAGGTCGCACACTCCGCGTACAGGTTGCCAGTGCGTTTCAAGGGTGCACACCAAAAGCACTCAACATGCCATCCCTCCCCAAGAACAGTGCTTGATCCATGGCAAATAATGATGGTACCTACTAAGTGGCATTCGCATCTGGATAACTTTCAGTATTTCAAAGTCGAACAACTCAACCTATTCATGGACTATTTTAACAAATGACAAGTAGGAACTCCTCGACATACGTGGCTGCTGAAATGGTGTTCCTTCCAAACACACACACAAACGGAAAGAATTGGTGGGTTGGAGGTTAGGTGGTTTCCCATTTGCCCTCTGCAAGAACCCAAAGGTCAAGTCCCCAAACCAATCCAAACAGCCAACTATAAGGATACCTGAGCAGAACTGGAAAGAAAGAAAGGGGCCGATCATGGCGTAACGGAGAAGATGTCTCGGTGGAGTTGAGGAAGACATGAGGCAACCTCTCCCAATCGGCCCCCCCAATACTCCCATGGTTGTCAGGGGCAACCATGGGTCTTGAAAAGGAACCCTTGACAGACCCTAGTCCCTATTAGCCCCTTGGATTGGGGCCCTGGGGGGAACCTAGGAATTCCATACCGAAAAAGCAGGGGCAGTGTTCGCTCGTAGAAGCGGCGCGCCTCCTGCCAGCCGTCGTCCAAGACCATCCAAGCTGGCCGGTGCTTGCCTGCAGCGTTTTTTTTTTTTTTTTTTTGTCCGCGGGCGGGCATGTTCACAAATGGGAAATGACACTACTGAAGCTGGTGTTATGTTGATTTCCCTCTGAAACCAAGCACCGGTTGGTTTTGGAGCCCAGAGTTGGCTCCAAAATATTCTTCTCCAACTCCGATTGTTACTCTCAAACTCTGCTTGGGATATGCCTGAATGCCTCAAAGAATGTGTCTGCCATTGGCAACCTTGGCTGGGAAGTGCTCGTGTAGCTTGACAACATGGACGAGGTCTAATCTGCACATGTAACAGTGTTTTTTTTGGATGCTAGCGACCTGGGGGTTGAAGAACCCTCTGAATTTCAAGCACGTGTCTCTAGCAATCGGGTTACACATGGTAGTATCAATATGTTCGACTAAGCCCGGGCAAAACGCATAGAAACAATCAATCTACATTCGCAATTCCAACTTTCTCGAAGCACCGTTTATCCTTGCAAAGCCTAAGCTAGCTGGCCATCAGGCACCCATTCCGTCCAGTGTCCAGTCGAAAGACAGGACAAAACCTGGTGGGCGGGGTGCGTATTGCTGAGCGGATTCCCTTTGTTTCTTTGCCATGCGTCACAGGGATGATCGCGTTCAAGGGAGGCCCCCCGCCCCCCCCCCCCACATGTTCTCGGGCTGGGAAATTAACCGAGGGCAACCAACCACTGCAAGCAAATGACGTGGCCCTGGGTAATTTCAGATTGCCCTCTGGGGCGGAAATTGAGTGGTTCTCCGTTTTGGTGCAACAAGGGACCAGATCAAGCCCGACAAAGCTTCACATCAAAGCCAGAAAGGCACCAACAAGGAAAACACAAATCGTGTCAAAACCAAAATCTGCTTTCCCGTAGTCTCCCTTCCAAACAATAGGTATGAACTATCCCCCCTTTAATGAATGTGGCCCATCCTCGCTTTACATTACTTACCGGGTAACCGCGGACCCCTTCAATGCATGTACAGTAGTCCCTACACTTTGGGAGGGGGGGTTGAAAACTAGGGGCCCGTTTTGGTATCCCCGAAAAAAGATGGAACAAGCGGACACAGTCCAACAAAAGACATGACTTTGGGCATGTGTCCAAATAGGACCCCGAGTGTTCCTTTTGGTTCCAATCCAACCTCTCAAATGGCACCCTCAGAAGGCACACCCAGACTTCGATGCATCGAAGCAAGCTTCACCAAGGAGCTCATTGCTTCCAGCTGCCGACGGCTCACCAAAACCCCGCAGGCGTCCCAACTGCACCACCCCCAGCGGGTGAAGAGCTCTGGGAGCTTCTTCCTCAACCAAAGAAACACACGGGCTTCCTGCGCGTCTGCGTGTGTGCGTCTGCGTGGGTACCCTTTCAAGCTGGATAAGCAACTAAAAGGACAACCACTTGTTGGTCAATGTTGGTCACCCGCTTTTGAAACACAAAGAACCACCTGGACTCTGGACCCTCAAACTCTGACAGCACAATGCTCCAACATGCCGCCCCTACAGATCAAAATGGAACCCCAACACCCTTCGTGCTTAGAGAACTCTCTGTTTAAGGGACCCCCTTTTTGGTGGAACCCTTGTTAAACAGATGAGGTGAGACTTCCCTTGAGGCTAAGTTTGAGGGTCCAGCCTTTTCCTAACCAAAAGGATATGCGACAGTCTGGCAACCTGCCTCTAGAAATTCCTGGAGGTAGTTTGTATTGGTCGATGCTTACAATAGGGTGGAAAATAAATATATGATATATTCCAAGTAGGTGCATTCCACAAACACAATACACCTCAAGCCCAGTGGGCTACGTCGGAACCCACCAAAAAAAGGATCTCGGTTGCCTGCAATTTTAGAGGGGGGACCCAAACAGAATTATCCGGGTCAAAAGAAGAACCCGTTGTTGGTTGGTTGATTCCACTTGTGAGGAACCCGCCTTTTATGGATTTAGAGGGTGTTCCTGCACAACAAATTCTTGCAATTTTACATGGAACCCCTCCAAGACTCATCCAACCACCATTGTTTGAGGAATCGCGTTTGAGGGAGCCCCCCCATATCCCCCCATGTTGTGTGCAAGAGCCTCCCTGCCAAGTTTCTCTTCTCTAAGCCTGCCGCCGCTCACTTCGCAACAGCGCCGGGCAGCCAAAAAAGCCGCCTTCGCCGCATCAGTGTCGCATTCCAGCACCAGCAGCACCGGCACATTTGTTGCCTAAGTGGGGATGTCGTTTTCCAGGCTACCCTTTTGGGGGCGCCTATTAGACGGAAACAAAGGAGAAAAAACACAGTTTGGCCGTCAACCCGAGCCCTCATAACATGCTTGAGGGCAAGGAATTGAACAACATGCACCTTGCGCATTCTGTGCAAAACAATGCTAGAACATGCAAAACAATACCGAATCGATGCCAACAAGCCAACAAGCGCTACACTAATACACCAATTCCTTTGCGTACACTATTACTAAGACAGCAAAATTGAATGAGGCCCCGCTCAGCCAGACAGCCAAATGTCAAATCACTCCCTTTCGCTTTTAACTCGATAAACCACCCAACACATGTACTAAACTAGGGGCACCATACAGAACCTCCCAACTTGTCCAACAGTGACCCTGGGAAAAGCGTGCAGCCTTGTTCATTGATTTTAGTACGGAACCCACAAAAGAAACGGCTAACAAAGAGTGCCAAGGTCTGGAAAATGGAATCCATTTCTGTGATACAACAAAAAGGGGGCTTCCCAAAGACTACCCCCCCCCCATATTTTCAGCGGGAGATTCCACAAAAGTATCACAGAAGTGGTTGGTGAAACCCTTGTGATCCCACTAGCTTAAGGGCGCCTCAGCGTGCAACTCCAGCTGGAAGTTGTCCAAGCCCAAGTCGCTGCCCCGCAAGCTTGCCACAGAGTTGCTGGTCGCCAGCGGGCAAAGCACCAGCAAGCGGCCAGAAGACAAGCGCGCAATGGCAAACAGCGTCTCCTGGTGTCGTGCCAAAGCTGAAATGGGCGAGTCCTTGTTCGAGGGTATCCTTTTGGGACATGCTTCCAACACCCTGCGTGGCTATTTTCCAACAGGGAGAACAACAACACAATAGTCTCATCTCTCGCGGTCTCCTTGAAGCAAGCATCAATGATCTGCAATAGAACGTCCAAATACTTAACCAATTACACACCTTATTCCCCTATAAACCTCACTGTGGATTTTACATAACCCGACCCGCTCCCATTCTAATCATCCCATCCCTATGAAGCGACTGAGATCCCCGCGCCGGGCATCTGCGACAGCTGCGTTAGCACCTTGGGCTGCGTCCAGGGCGGCTTGTGGCGATGCAATGCCACCAGCTGCAGAATCCCCTGATTCGGGAAGAGCTGGAAGCTGCCCGTGGCACCTCAGGGAAGACCGGGCGTCTTAAGACTCACAACGGGATCCCGGGATGACTACATATGGAGCCGTGCTTTCAGGTTCCCTTGAATCGGTGAAAAGGGGGGTTCTCATTTTTTGAAGAAACCCCCAAACCAAGGCCCTCCGCACCCTCTCAAAGACCTCTCTGATTTCTGGAGGGCAGGGGGTGATGTCTCTGAGCTCCACATTTGCCCGACCCAATCACTGGCGGTACGCAAAAACACAGTTATTCTAGAGGCCTGGCGTCCCTCACCCGTAGCACCTGATCCTTTCCACGTCACCGTCGTCTCTGTACAGTCGCCCACCTCTGCCTGCTGAATGTGCAAGCTCTCATCGTGGGATGCCAGCACAAGGGCCATTAAGCTGAACGGACACCCGCTTTCCACAGCAACGCTTGGCGCAGCATCATGGCTTCAAGTCATGCAAAAGGATCATTACTCTGTCAATGCGTGGTTGTTGAGTGATCTTGTTGCTCGCTGCGGGAACCTGCGAAAGCTGAAATCATGTTGTCAACCTGGGCTGCCCTCAGATCCCCTGCTCAAAGTTTAACTTTTGGGATAAATGGAAACTACCAGACAAACCTAAAAAGCTAAAAACAGCTAGGGGATGGCCGGGAGCCACCAAGCTAACATCTCTTGTCTTGACTGGTTCTTCAGCTTCGGCTCTTCGCTCGCGGGCGGAAATAACACGAACCATGGTGATCCACTGGCCGATATGGCAAACCACTGGTTCTCCACTGATACCAGCCCTCTCCTCTCATAATATGTTTAAGATTGTTTAGGACATGTGATGAGAGTCTGATGCCTGGACACCTCATTGGCCATTGCCCAGCTTTAACACGATGTCTGCAATTCAAGGATTCACTTGCAAAAGGATTGTCCCAGTTTGAGACAGAGCCATATTCGATATTCTAAGTGACTCTTAAATGTCCAGTCACCAAAGTGCACGGCAACGTTGCGTCCCTAGGCCTTGAGGCTCTAATTGTTGACTCCAAGTTGCCCATTTGGGACAGCGCTGGCAGAGACATGCGCGGCAATCAAAGGAGGCAATCCATCCCCTGAAGGCCAGGGCCTCCGATCAATCCCTTTTGCAGGGTGCCCAGAAGTGGCCACACATCAGCCCGAAAGGCGTAAGGGTCAGGGGCTGAAACTTTTGTAAAGCTCGAGCTGGAGCTGTTTTTTAGGTGCACGCAAGGAAGAGAGTGCAAAACACTCCACAAGGAAGTAATCGAGAAACCTACAGAAGACTCCACCAGTTCGCCCAAACTTGGTTGTGGGTATGTGGCAAGCTTTCTGTAGAAATCCTTGCTGGTTTCTAAGAATTTGCACACAGTCCTATCTATGGAATCAGGCGCAAAGTTTTTTTCAGTAGCTCCCGGAAACATCCTTTCCCGCTAGATGACTGACTTCAGTCGTGAGTACACCAGGCTTAGACTTCCTGCAAACAAACAGCGAGCCTTTGCAGGAACCCACTAGACAAATGCTGTCTCTGAGCTCCTGGGTTTCTCACCTTAAAGACCTGCCAGGGGGCCGCTTCAAAGTTGCTCCGCCGACCTTGCTCGAACTTTGGCCCCGGAAAGGCCGGGTTCCAACTAGATTTCCCCGGCTAAGCGCAGCAAAAGGAAACTCAATTCAAATCGGCCCAAAAAGTGATGCTCAAAACAACCCAGAGTTTAACACATTGGGAACTCTGGAAACGGGACACTAAGGAACACCAATCCAGTTTCCTACCCTGATGGTCTAGGAAGGCTCGGAGCAACCCAGAAAATGGGCACCCTGATTCTAAGCACCTAGGTGTTCAGTAACCCTGGTGGAAGGGAACCCCGTTTCACCACTTTTGGCTAAAGAACACCCAAAGAAGGGCTGAGGCGATTTCTGGAACCGAGTCAAATGGCCTATGGAAAGTGGCTCCAGTTCAGCGCCTGGTGTCGCGCTGAAACTTGGGATCGCGACCTCAGCAGAAGCACGTGGCCGCATGGTCGCCCCCAAAGGAAGCGGAGAGCACAAAATCCAGCGGATCGATTCACTTTCCGATAGAAATCAACCTGGTTTGACATGCTTTCCCTTGCCTACCTGCCTCTTCACCAATTGACCATGAGAAAAACAAAAAGCAACATTGATCCTGGCAAAATGTGGCTTGGCCACCTTCCAGCGAGACGCTGAAACGTGGCCAAATGTGGCAGACATGTGGCCAAACGTTGCCCAACGCTGCAACTTGTCGAAGAACACCACGAGAAAAGGATCCTTCCTCGTGGCTTCCCTTCAAGACTGGCCCTGCCGGAATGGGCGACGTAAAGATGGCCACCATGTGTTGCTGGGCTTTCAAGTTTCTGCTGCTGCATCGCAAGAGCAACATTATATAATTGCTCATGTCCTTTCACGGCAGCTTGCCACTCCACCCATGACAATCCCAGCAACTGATTCCCTCAACTCATGGCATTTTGACCACGCAGCTCTAATTATCTAGCTGGTGTTTCTTGAGCCCGGCTATGGCACAGCAGGTTTTCTCTTGCATGCATGGCTGTTTTGCCATGTCCGCTAATCCTACTCGTCGATTGCATCATGCCAATGGCCATTTGGTACCCGTCGCAGTCCCTTTGGCTTGAGTCAATCTCAATGGTCTCGATTGCAAGACTGGCCCCTGCGGGCTCTGATGTTGTCTTGCAATGGTCAGCAGCTGCCTTATCAGCTGTGACCTGGCTGTAAACAAAGCCTTGCACTTTGACAACACAAGGCTGGACCCCTGACCACTTTGTTTAGGTCATACGTAGTTACATGAGTGCCCGTCAATGCTAGAAGCCCAAACAAAGCGGGGACGACCCAAAACCGATACTCATAGGGGCCAACTGTGTATCACTATGGATCCAACCATGTCGCATCGCTTCACAGGCGCACATAGTGAAACTTGTATCTTCTCCTGGCATTTCCCTACCTAAAGGCTGAATGAGGGACCCTCCGGTTCCGTTGGCGCAGTCTTCCTCACAAAACAGCTATGGCTTGGCATAGGTGAAATCAAGGATGAACCCCAAAGAATACTGGGGTTAAGGCACCAATTCCAAGCGGTGCGAAGCGGATTTTGTCCATCCAGTATGGTCTGCTCCTCACATGGTGTCTCCCTTTTTGAATGGTAGTCTCTCAAAGTGTTTAGGGAAAACCACCAGGACACAACCCATTTTTGTATTCTTGGCCCTTTTCGTTCCTTAGGCCCCAACTGATGAGGAACTCGTAGGTTTCGATGTCAAGGCCTGCGAGGTCGTCATTTCTTGAGGCGAAGGTGCTCTCTGGCTTGATGGAAACCAACTGGAACCCACAGCAAGCCGTTTTTTGGAGGGGGGGCCAGGCGGGGCCTTTCAAAAATGACAACCTCATATGGTGCCTCGGCTGGGCGTGAGACCTGATGCCCAGCCACACATCACACATCGCAGCTGAATGCCATTCCGCACAATGCCTGTCTGGTATCAAACACAACAGACTGTGCTGAGGGCTGCAAGGAAGCCCCAAAAGACGGGTATGAGGGCTATCGAATCTGACGAAGCCCCCCGCCCCAGCAGCATCATCCCGGCTCAGGGTTGAATCATTCTTCAACGCCTTCTGGTTTGGATGGGCGTCTCATCCCCACACAGGGGAGAAAAACACGAAAACAAAAAAAAGCCTCTGTTGTGTGCCATATTTAGGCTAGCGCCAAGCAAAAAGCAAATCTACCTCTGATTAATGAACTCCCCCCCTCCCCCCAAACAACTTCCCTCCCCAAATAGTTCTCCCAACTTGATTGCGACTTGCTAAGTATTGCTCACAGCTTTGTTGTGTTTCAATTGATTCAGTATTGCTGGAGCCTCCTTTTGAGATTGGATTCGGGATTCCAATGGGTTTAGTATTGGTGGATTTGAGTTTTCAATTGGTCTAGTATTGCTGGAGCCTCCTTTTGAGATTTGGCTTGAGGGATTTGAGCTTCCAATTGGTTGAGTACCTCCTTTTGAGATTTCACTTGAGGGACTTCAGTTTCAACTGGTGAAGAATTGCTGGAGCCTCCTTTTGAGATTTGACTTGAGGGATTTGAGTTTCCGATTGGTTTAGTGTTGCTGGTGACACTCTTTTTTTTTGGGGGGGGGGGGCAACCAGGAATCTTTAAATGGGGGGGGCCCTAAATATTTTGTTTTACCTCCAAGTACTACCCTTGCAGGATTAATTCGGGGCCACTTCTTAAAGAGTATGTAACGAATTTGCAGTTTGGGAGCTGTTTTTTTTGGAATTGCAAAAATCTAGATGATTGAAATCATGCGGAGCAAGCTTCAAGGAATTTGTTTCAAGATTGAGCCTTTTACTCGTGACGCGACACAAGCAGATCGTTGCGGGCAGGGTCTAATAAACATGCTGGTTCGTTCGAATGGAGGGGGGGGTCTGCAAAATCTAACGCGCGCACCGTGGTGGGACGCCACTAAAACGGAAAGCAAATACCATTTGGCATCATCTTGGCCAAATCTGGGGTGCACAACACAGCTTCCACATTTCGTCTGCGGCGGATGCCTCTCAGAAAACATCTCTGCGCCAGCCAAACATGAGCCCAGACCCAGCCTCGATCGCATGGCTTGTTCCATGCAATCTCGATGGCATCGATGCTCTTGGAGAGATGAGCTGGGCGACCTCAGTGACTCAGGCTTCTTGGGAAAAGCTAGCCCTGACCTGGGAAACGCATGCTGCCCGATAGATTGTTCATGTATACAGTATATATCTATATGTCTATGTCTATGTACATGTATACAAATTTCAGTGTATACCGTCCACACACACACGCACACGCACATGGATATATATATATATATACACGTATGCACACATATATATATATATGCATGCATACACAGTGCACGCATGCATGGATCTACACTGCATACAAACATACCAAGATGCGACTGCCTCATTCAACATTGTGTGTGGTGTGGAGTAGGGCACGCTGTTGGCCATGTTTGACCATGTCAAACCAAAAAGGCTTGCCGCAGCGCAGGATTGACTGCGAGATGCCTGGAGGCTGCCTTGCAAACAGTGCAAAGTCAGGCTATTTTCCGTCACTGCATATGCAGACGGGCCGGCCAAGCCAGTGTCCCCTGCTCTCTTCATAAATGCTCGGGCACCAACACTTGGCTGGGCTATGTGCGGCCTCTGCCCAAGCAGCGGCAGGGGCGCTGTACTTGAGACTTTGCACGAAGATCTAAACAAGATCAAGCCTGTGTATCTTTGGCATAGTCAGGCCCGAGCATGGTGGCTCTATCTTACACTGGCCCAGCTCACTACAACATGGGGACTCGTACCAAAGGCCCTCGCGGTTGCTCCACTTGACAGGCCCATGGCAAAGTGGATCCGCTGCACTTCCATTGTCTGGAACTTGCGGATACAAGAGAATAATGACAGGACTCCACAAAATCCGCCACATATGCGAGCAAAAGCATCCAAATCGCCATGGCCGAAATACTCACCCAGCCACCATGATTTCACAAGGCCCTTCCTGCATATGCTTTCTGCCGTGCAAGGCAGCTGGGAAGAACTCTGTCAGAAGTCCGAAGAGTTTTGACTGGGGGAGATTCAAGGATCTTTTGCAAGAATTTCGCAGCTGGGTGCTAGCCTCATGCAAGGCTAGCAAAGCAACGGCCAAACTACAGAACAGTCCTTGCTCAGAGCTGTGGGCCCTTGACGATGGTCCACACTGTGGACATCATTTCCATGCCCTCCAGCTGCTCCAACTGTGGAATCGCCCACAGCCGGATCTCCTCGCTCTCTGCGTTTTTGCCCCAGAAGTTATTTGCTCTGATCAGGGCCTTCATGACGAGGTACAACCTCACTGGTCCAAAACAAACGATCAAATCCAAAAAAGGTACGATTCATGGCTAAATTTCTTTTTCGTGCAAAACAACCAGAACAAGCTCAAATCAAAGTCTCACCATGCACTGTAAACAGTTGTTCGGACAAAAAGGTGCTGAACAAGATCGGCCTGAAGCGCCAAGTAACTTTTCTTTGCCCAGGGCGGCCACTCGGACGCATGTGTCTTGCTGGGCCCGGTTGACGATGCTGGACGCAAGGCCCGTGATTTTATCCTGGAAGCCAGCGTGGAGTGGCTTGGAGCTTGGGCAGCTTGGGCTAGCCCTACAAGAACATCTCTACTCTTGGTATGGCAGCAAAACACTTTGTTTTTGCAGACCTTTAGTAAAAATGAACAGAACCAACAAAAAAAGGGGGGGGGGGAACAAAAAATGATCCAAGAACTGTGAAGAGAAAACTGGGCGATTTTGGGCTCTCAAACTAGGGGCTTTCTGAAATTTGATTGGTTTTTCCTGCTGGCTTCCCCTTTAAGTAGCAACCAAAAATTCAGCAGGAAAGTGGGGGGTGGGACCAGCAGAAACCAACAATTTCAGGCTTTTCTTCACTTTGGAGAAAAATGAAAGCAGAAAGGAATATTGTGGGGGGTGGGACCTTCCCTCTATTCGGTGGCTTGCCGTTCGGACCAACGAGGTCTAAGACGATGACTAACTGATAGCGTCTAAGGATGTTTGAAAAGCATCTCCATTGAGGGCTTGGTTCCAAATGATCGGGTTGTCTTGGACCGCTTTGGGTAGGGTGATGTGTCGCAGTTCAAAAGCCTCGTCAAATCCTACATGATCTACCGGGAAACCACTACAGACTCAGGATTGTGGATCGCCTCTAGTCAGACCCTGGATGTAATCAACTTGCGAAAGTGGGGCCCTCAACGCCGGGTTTGGCAATGGGACAAACATTGGTCCAGCCAGCTAGTATCTCAGGTGTTTGCGTTTCTGGGAATGTGTATTTGACATATCCCATTTAATAAAACTTATCTTTACATGACAATCTCCCTTGAACCAAGCCTAAAACCAATATATATATATATATATATTGAGTACTTGGACCCTTGTGGATAGACTGGGACAATATAAACCATTGCTTATTTCAGTATTGATGGCATTACTTCTCATTAATGTTGACCCCATCCTTTGTTTTTTAGGGGTGTCCCTGGGTCTAGTGGGGAATCATCACTTTGTGAGGGGGGAACATCCCCCCTATCAATAAACCGTGGTTGATCAAGAGGGGGTCAACCTTCCCCCCCAGATACACATGAAACCGCAACAAAAGGGGGTCCAACAAAAGGAGGCCACCCTCAGCAATTCCGGGGCTGCAGCCCAGCAAACTCCGAGTCCTCGCCATTGGGAGCTCTCAGGATTTCGCCCTCGCAGTTCCCATCCCAGGAAATCGGCCGTGCGTGCAGCTGGATGCTGGTCACCTCATTGGCCTTAACCTCGCGAAACACATTTGGCCGTGGGTCAAAACCCAGGAAACCCCTGGTGAACATCAAAATAGGTGGCACATGGGTGTCCATGAAACACATCTACGAGTTTCTGGCGCAAAGTCATACCAAAAACATGCAAAACAATTTTCAAGACAGGTTCCCTCAAGTGGGCGCAATGACCTTCAGAAACATGGTCGTCAAGAGTGGTCGATTCAACGCATTCCTGTACCTGTCCAAACCCCCCCCCCCCCCCAAAAAAAAAAAAAAGCCACCAATTGGGCAGCGCCCCTAAAAGCCCACCGGGGATTCCTTATTTGGCTGCGAGTCTGTGGATCCGGATCCGCTTGCGATTCTAGAAGAGCACTAACCAAAAAGAAACGGGATACAAGGGAGAATAGCAGGTGAAATCCACAAACAGGACATGTAAACCCTCAATTTCTGCAGGCAATAGTAAGCCTTCTCAATGTAGGTCACTCTTGGTGCATGTTTTGCAGGCTTTGGCTTTTGCCTGCGTGCCCGCTTCAGAGGGCTCATATCGGCATCACCAGGCCCAATCTACAGTGAGTCTCCTGGTGGGGCGGCTGATGTTTGAGGCTTCCCATTCGGTGGCAAAAGGAACTGGCGTTCAAACCCCCAACCTTTCAACCGCTGGGCACAGCACGTGCGATGTGGTGCGATGCGGTCCGATGCGCCCACCGACCCAAATGCAACCCACTTTCATACAGCAAAAGGGAACTTCCCAACAACGTGTTGAAGACTAACTTTTTTGTGTGCAGGGGGAGATTCCCAAAAGTATCACAGAATTGGATAAACCCCGACTGATTCCACAACCTCTTCCCTTCGAAGCCACGCTTCCGCCGTCCAAGCGGCTTGTTGTGGCAGAAGCGCCAGGCTGCCGCCGAGGCTCGCCAAGATCTTCTGGTACCCGCTCACCTGCTTCTGCAGCAAGCGGCAGGCCTGCCTCAAGAGACTCGAAAACCAACGCGCACCCAAAACCATGGGGAAGCCCCAAAAAAATATGGGGAACCAACCTGCAGGGTGTAAACAAAAGGTGGAATTTAGGGCGCCCAAGAAAATGGCGGAAACATTGTTGTGGGGGACAACTCTTTGGGATTGAAGCTGAACTTGAAACGGGGTCCTCTCCCAAAGGGGTCCTCAAAAGAGATAGGTCTTGAAATGGCGGCGCTTTTGGTTTGGTTGAATGTGAATCTGCAGAGGAGTGAGTGACGAAAGGACACCCTCCCACAGCCGTGGGCCGGTGGACAGTTGCCCCGCTGGACAGTTGCCCCGCTGGAATGCTATATTCTGCTTCTGTGCTTGTTGGTGGAAGAATCAGTGTTCCAATCCTAGACCAACATTGGAGAACAGCAAGGTAAAACGGTTGACGTTCCGCCCCGTGCTGCGTTAGCCCTACATGGACTAAATACCATCGGGAGCTTTTCACACAGCTGATGCTTTCACATGTGGGAGGCATCAGCTGGTTTCTCGCAAGAAGGGAATTCCCTTGATACTGTGGATGGACGAAGTCCTGCACCACCTAAGAAACCCTGGAAGGATGATTCCCCTGGAAATACCAACCCAATTGGCTTTCCCATGCTTTCAAAGCGGTGCGAAATGGATTTCGTCCATCCACAGTATGATAGAAAGCTTCCCCACAGTTCCGCAATCCCAACCCCGAGGACCGCCTTCCCAATATCCCACCAGCCAGAACCTCCTGGACAGGTGGCTGTGCAGCGTTCTGCCCGCAGAAGTCGATCGCAACTTGTCCGTGCTCCTGGAGCTTGGCAGTCACAACCCCCACGGCTGAGTTGATGTCCGTGTCCTTGCGGAAAAAAACAAAGCGGGCAAGCAGAAGTCAGAAGCGATGGCAGGCTTGTTTTCCAGAAGTCTGGTTTCTCTTCAAGCATCCAAATGATTTGCAACGACTGAGCTCCATCGAATGCCTCGCTACCCGCGTGCCAGCATAAAGAAAGCACGCGCCAAATCAGACCCCTGAAGCCATCTCGGCGACCCCGAAAATAAAAGTCGCCAAGAATTCTGCCCCGTTTCATTTGGCAGTGGGTCAAACATATGCACCCAAAGTTGATCCCTGGTAACTGGAAACTTGGACCGCATCCTGCGGTCCCCTGGTGGCTTAATTTTGACCCACACCCATTTGGAATCACGCATCTTGGTTCGCCCCACCTGCTTCACGCGGATGATCCAGTCTCCTGTGGAGGGAGCAGACCAAAAGGGCACAGCCTCATCTTGGCCATCAGCTGCTTTCCCTGAGTTGCGTGCAGAGATTTCTCGCGACCAAGTGGAGCCGGTCAACGGAGTGAAGGCCCACGATGACCTGGGGCTGGGTGTTGAACAGCTCTGGAAACATTGTAACTACCCATCCTCTTTTGGCTTCCCTTTGGGAACTTATGCGACATTGACTCGTTCGCACCCAGCGGCGCAAGCGCGATCAAACTGAAAGCAGCAGCCCGGCTCAAAGCTGCGCGTCCTACCATGGCCGCCTCAAGTGTTCCGGCTTCTGCTGGACTCCTGGACCCTGGACACCGAGGTGACTCTGGATTTGAGAGTGTTGCCGGGCTGCTTCTGGCATAGATTCGAACATTTTTCGCGAAATCATGTTGCCCATAAGCTGTGAAATGGCGCGGAGAAGGCGAGCGTTCCAACGGTGTCGCCCTAGACACAGGAATCGGATCCACGAGGCAAAACTTGGGGCGCAAGAAACGGTGTCGCTTCTTCCAGTACTCAAAGTACGTTCTCCGAGAAACTGTGTTGCAATCAACCAAGGACACTTGAAATGTCCTGGGACAAGTGAAACATTGACCCGCCATTCGCACTTTGCGGGCACACAGGGGCCCCGCGCTGCTTAGCCCGCAGTAACGCAGAGCTTACTTACAATTGGACTGCACAAGTGCCTTTCAACTCAGCATGCCAATGAAGAAACGGCCTCAGCAATCAGCAATTGCTCGCCAAAGAAAGAGGTTGAGAAAGAAAGAGAGGGAGAGTAAAAGAGCGAACTACGCAGAGTCAGTGAGATAGAGAGAGAGAGAGGGAAAGAGAGAGGGAGAGAGGACACAAACAAACATCGAACACTAGTAGCACCTGCCGAAGCATAGCCCTGCAATTCTGAGTTCAGATTCTGCTTCACCTCTAGCCACCTACCCTCAAGTAGACCATAGTTTTAAGAGCAGGAAACGTTGACCCCGGAGAAATAAACCCGTCATAACCGACAAAAAGTGACCCCTCAAAAAGTGTGAGCCCCACTAGGGAACCCACCAGGGGACACCTCTTGTTCATCAACCACGGGTGTATTCATCCGGGAAGCCACGCCAGTTGAACCTCTTCGGTCGCCGCGCACCGCGCAGCCCTTTTTCCCACGAACCTCTATCTACACGTGCAATATATGGGGAGGGACTCTCAGATTTGCATGAAATGGTTGCCTTTTGTCTGGCTTTCCGTTGAGCACCAACCAAAAAAGTTGTGCCATTTTGGGAACCCTCATGTCTTCGCGCACTGCGGCTTGGAACCTTGGAAGCACCGTCGGGCAAGGTTGCGTTGACCTGGCGACATCAATAGGGCTGAGCGAACGCCTGACTGCCGGCCAAGTGTAACGAGCAGTTGCATGAATGACAGAATCAGGAGTGACCCCTTCCCGAACATATATATATATATATGTATTATATATACGTTGTTTAATCCAAAAATTAGCCTCTGTCTCCGTGGAGGTTGAAACCGGCCCAAAATCACAACAATAACCACGTCACTGTTCATGCAACTAATCATGCAAACAAAAAGGGGCTGTAGAGACACACGGGGAAAAAAAAACATATAAACAATTTGTGCCTCAATGTTGGAAGCTACAAGCTCAAAATGATGGAGCTTGTGTTCAAGTATGGTTAACATGGATGAATCGCAATTTCTGCACTGCAATCACTGCCCAAACCAATTGGGCCGACTCTGAGAAGAGCCTTTCGTGTCTATACACCCTTCAGAGCTAACACGAAACCCAGTGAAACCCAAAGGAAATGGTTGGAAACACCAAAAGTGTGGGGAGGTGCATGGAGTGATTGACAATTCATAGAACTTCCACGGAAACCAATTGGGGGGTTCAGTCTCTGATATCCCCTTGCAATCAGTATCAGTATCTGAGGACCGTTGAAGAAGGCCAGCAACCCCGCACCCTCCAAACTGATTTCAGAAAAGTTGGACTGAGTAAGGCTTGGTTGACGTTGAAGGGGAGCAAAAAATAATAAAATAGCAGTTAAGTGGGGATTTCCCACTAAACCACAATAAGCAAAAATGTAAAATGTTTCCCAACAACAACCATGAAGGGGTCAATCAATTTATTTGTGGCGGGTATAACGGAAGCGCCCCCTTGATGACAAACAAACGCGCAAAATTCACACCGGTTCGGGCCTGAGCGATCATTCTGCATTGGCGTGGTCATGGGAACCAATCAAGGTGTGATGCCAATGCTTTGCTTCCGGGCAGCAAAGGAATGAGGGCGTCCCCTTAATCTATCTTGTCGGGGGTTCAAGAGGTGCCTTTGTTGGGGTTCGGGCTTGTTTGGTGTCACCTTGTGCTGCCAAAGGGGGTCCCAAACAAGGCCCTCATTTTGCCAACAAAAGGGCTATGTCTCTGTCCCAGGATTTTTTCCGATACCATGTATTTGATATTACCCGGACACGCTACTTCCGTTCCTGTCGCACGGACTGACCTGCGAGTCGGGTAGGCCGGAGACCAAAGACAAAGACTGAACCAATGACTTCTCCCAACCTTAGAGGTTTCCCAAACAATGTTGACCTCATCTTAATCAACCCCGGTTTGTAAGGGTGTTGTTGGTGAGGAATCAGACCACCTTTGGAGGCGTCCCCATCCCGTATTAATAAACTGGGGTTGATTCATATGAGGTCACCGAGTCACCATGTAAACAAATGGTGCGGTGCCCGCCTTCTCTCACAGCGGCGGGCCCTTGACGACGGTCAGCACGGTGGACATCATCTCCATGCCCTCCAAGGTCTCCAAACTCGGAACCGCCCACAATGGCTCGGCCTCCTCGTTCGCGTCTATGGCGTTGCGTGCCACGAAAATGTTTGCTCTCATCAAGGCCTTCAGAGTAAGATATAGCCTCTGTTGCCCAACGCACATCGACGCCAACCCGTGGAAAAAGACCATACGGGTGACACAACCAAACAATAAGAAACAAATGGCCATCTCAGATCCTCCAACTTTGTCTGAGCAGCTTCTCCTTTCCGAGCGCAGCTACCCGGGCACATCCGTCATTTTCAATCCTCGCAACAATGGATGATGCCAATTTGGTGATCTTGTCCTCCGCCGGGGCTCTGAGAAGATCAGACGTGCAGGGCTGGAAGGCAACGGGCCGAGCATGAATCTGGACGCTGATCTTGTCTTCTTTCTGGGTTGGACATTGACCCCACCGAAAAAGTCAAACTGTTTGACAGTTTGTAGCGAACATCATCTTCCAAAAGGTTATGGCACGCCCCCCGTTTTGGTTTAGACATCCCCTTTCCTTAGCCAAGGAACTTTGCGTTTGTCTACTTTCACCCTGCAAAAGGTAGGTAAGGAGCCAAGCTTCAGTCTCCACAAAATGGGGATACAGTGCTAAGCTGCCACCCAGCTTGCCCAAGACCTCCTTGTGCAAATTCACCTCCCTCTGCAGGACACGTAGGCCTTGCCTCGGGACGTTTTGTTTTTTGCAAAGGTCAAAACTCCAGTTCGCCATACCCCCGGCTTCCTTCTTGGAACCCTGTTGATTGGTCACAATTACCAAGCAACTCTGCTTGCTTTTGTTCGCCGAAGTCCAATCTTTCAAAAAAAGGGAACCCTTTTTGGGGAAGACCACTTTTAGTGGGGCAGCCCCCCCCCCCCAAAAAAAAAAAAGGAGGAACATAATTGGTGCCACTGAACAACCGAGTGTTTGTTCCCACGGAGTCGGCTCGTTGAACCCGCCCCTTTTCCACGCGCCAGGCGTGCCAGGCGGCTGCACAGCATTGGGGCCAAGGCAGTCGAGCACCACCTGGCCATGAGCCTGGAGCTGGCTGGTAACGTACCTCGTGGCCTTCGAGACGTTGGAGGCCTCGAAGGCAAAAGCCGAGTCACACTCACAGCCATAACCATGGGAGCCATGGGAGCCAGGAACATTGTACGTAAGCGGTTATAGGCCTGGTTGTTAACCCACTGAACGCAGACTTAGAGCCAAGGCAAGGTGATGACGAGGCTTACTAGGCTTACTAACCACTTGTTAAGTACAATGTCCCTTTCAGTATTTATTGACAAAGCACATTCTCTGGGACCATAGGGAAACAATGAAATAACATTTTCGCGGTTCCCCCTTGCTATGTGCGGACTCAGAATCTACACCAAGTCTTGAAACGGGAAAACCTTTGGGGATGGCTGACTATGCAAATATAAAGAACTAAAATGTGTGTGTGTGTGGGTGTTACGGTATTTACTTCTTTTGCGGAAGGGATCCTAAGTATGGTAATTACTTGTGTGGCTTCAATTTAAAACATATGCGCTTCGTGACCTCCACAGCCAAGAGGGCACCCCCTTTTTACAGTCCTTACAATATCCGAATTTGAATGCACATTGCGAAGACACCCTAAGGACTTACCGCCCAGGCAAGGTTCGCAGAATCCCCTTTGTGGCCCCCCAGCTTAAGGTAACACTGGGGCAAGCCTTCAGCACACAGCAGCTTGCCTTGAGCAGCACATCAAGTCTAAACCCTGGTGGCCCACTACGCTAAAGCTGCTCTGCCTCTGTTCGATTGATCGGCTTTCCTGGCCAAGTAATGGGTCTCTGTGGTATGATCAACGCGCCAGGGGCAAAGATGCAAGCCCGGCCTGCGCGATGCGAACGACATAGTCTCCTTCAGCTGCGGGGACTTTGAAAGGCACCCGCTCCTCCTGGTCTTCCTCCAGTGCTCTCCGACTGCTAGTGCCAATTGCTCGCCCACCCGAAGAGGAACCGGTCAACGGGGTGAAGGCCCATGATGCCGCGAACACGAGGAAGCTCAAAGCTGCTGCCCGGCAGGCCACGGCATGCCGCGACATCGATGCTCGATGCTCAGGCCTGCGACCATAAATGTGTCTGGCTCCTTTGATGCTGATCACTTCGTGGTGTCTTGTGTCACATGCACGGAAGTACTGTGAAAGGCTGCGCCATCCTGGTCCTACCGATCTTGATACAGCACCGAGTGAGCCTCGAGTTCGACAGCGAAACGCCAACTGCAAATGGACAACTTCCCCGAAACTTCAGGGGAAACACGGCGCCATAGTTCCAGGACTGGAGTGCTCCGCTCTCAGGAAAGATTCAAAGGGGATGAAAAGGTTGCGGCCGCCGCTCTACCTTCCATATTTCAGAAAAAGAAAGTGATGCAGGTTCATTGGTTCTTTCAAACGACCGCCCAAAACAGGTATCCAAAAGAGCATACCCATGTCAAGCCTTGCTCCATGCAGCTGACCTAGCGACGCCAGCCTGGCGCCGACGCAGGCAAGTTGATCGCACTTCTGGGC